TGATTAAAATACATTGCTTATAATATATAAAGATGATAATGATACTTATGTAAATTAAGATTTTCTTTAGTTTCCCTGTTTCAAACGAATGAAATATGCGTAACATTGCGAAAAGTATATTAAAAAATATTTATTTTAAATATTAACAAATATGTATAAATACTTTAGGCCTTTCAGCTCACAATTATTTAAAAATCTTGTACATTAAAAATTGTTTAAAAAAGCATTTCTCCTTAATAGAAATTTTTTTTTTATATCAACAGTAATTCGTGATTTACACGGCGATACGTTCGTGTTTGAAATTTCAGAACTTTTGTCAAAGTGATCCTGTGATAAAAAGTTGTATCGCGATTCTACAGATAAACGAAGGAAGAGAACGAATTTATTCTCGCAATAAAAACTATTGAAAGATTACCGGGAACGAGTAATATTTGGATCTATGATCATAAGGGGTCGGAAAATATCGAATTTCTGATTCAGCGGGGACCATGTTTGTTTTGTTTCGTCGTGCCCTGACAACGGTGTTATCGTGAAGCCCTCGAAGGGATTTTCGAGGTCAGATTTTCGAGGCTCGGCCCGCTCCTTCGGCCACGTTTTACGAGGGCGGAACTAATTTCACGGCGAGTCGCTCGATCCTTCTGCCTTGTTATTAGATTTCATCATGACTAGTGTACATTAACGGAATGAACAAGTCCCTTAGTTTTGCTTAGAAATGGCGGCAAAAGAAAGAAATGCTAACTGGTAGGGAGAAATAAAACAAAATTTTGAATGAAAAGGAAGTTGCTGAAAGAAAAAGAAAAGCTAATCGGAGCAAAGAACAAAGTGAAATAGGCGAAATAAAAAAATATAATTACATATAAAAATATAATAAAAAATATAATCGATACAGGAAGATAAAAGATGTATGAAAAGATATGCAAATTAAAGTATATTTCAGTTCTTGTGTTGTCAGAATAAATGTTGATTTGCGTGTACAATGACATCGAATGAGAATAAACATGATGTTCCAAAAAACGATTAACGCAAAAGACATAATTTTACAACAGAGCATAACCAAAACAAGCACGATAAATTTTGCCAGCCATTTGCAAAAGATTAGAGGTTAAATTGAACTTTTCGTGTTTCGACCGGGCTTAGTTACGAATAATCCAGGAATTATGTTTATGTCCATGATGTAGCGTTGGAATACGTCGCGAGCATATACGTCATTGGTTATCTAAATCTTCATTAATTCAGTAGGCAGCTCATTGTCGCCCTTGCGACTCATTTTTCTCTTTCACTGTGGGATGCCCAGAGAAAATAAATTTGATCGTAGGGAAAGCGAGATGGCGATGGATTCGAATAGGAAATATCGGACGGAGACGAACCAAGCGATTCTTTCAGATATTTTGTATACGTCAATGAAGGGGAGTTGTATAGAGAGAGAGAGAGAGAGAGAGAGAGAGAGGGAGAGAAAGGCGGACAGAGAGGGGGAAACAGGGGTTGCTGGGTAACAGAGTGGTGGGATAAGAGTTCCCAGGGGTGCCTAGCAACAGGTTGCTACCCTAAAATTTCGACCGGCAGGAATGAAGTGGTTGGGTGGGGATGAGAGTACCTATAAATATACCGGGTGCTCTTGTCAAAATTATATTGCTCAAATTGAGTCTCCGCTAGAAAGAAATTGTAACTATGATAAATTCTAGTTGAATGGAGGTGTAAACAAACAAACAATTGAACATCAAAATGAATATTTTTTTTTTGTATATATTTTCAGTATTAATTTCTTTAGCAAGAAACAAAGGTTCACGTTAGCAACTTCAAAAAGTAATACGTCCTTAGTTGAAGTGTGTTTTGCTGTAATTATTATTTGCGTGTTTAAGGCTGCAGAAAGTGCTATTTGTTACTAAGTCTATTACTAAGAGTGTGCTCGATAAATGTTTGCACGAACACCATCGACGACCGCATCTTAATGCCTTGCACATTACTCTGTCGAAAGCTGTTGTCGGACAGGTCTACGAGCGTAAATTAACGCACTATAGTCCAGCAGTTGTGCGATTATAACGTCAATCGCACTGTTATTGATAAAGCGACCTGGTAACGGTCGCCAGAACCAGTACATTTTATCGTAAGTGGAATTTTAAAACGCAGAACGTGGAAAACGAATAAACCTTTAATAAAAAATAGAGGAGGAAATATCAGGTAACTGATGTTTTGCAACATTTCAATATGAAAGACAAGTACGACAAATATTTAATACATATTTTTCGAAAAATAGTCAAACGAATTATTATGAAATGCATTTAATAGATAAACAAGTTTGAAATTACCATAAATATGGAAAAGTGATATATTCTTTTATTTTGCCATTTCTTATGGACATTAATTTTATAATTACAACATTGTTAGAAAATTATGTACATTTTTAATATTTCGGTGACAATTAAAAATGGATAAATCCCTGTTCGAGATTATCGAAAGTGCACACAATTACTTTTAGATAGGCAGATATAAGTTAGTTACGCGTGTAATGCATTGGAATTTATTTTGCACAGGTAATGGACGAGCTAGGTATTAATTCGTTCGTGCAAATAACGACGATGTGGTGTGTTAGTGCGGAAATTATCGTCAATGAATATTCCATGGCACGATTCAATCTATCGGCTGCCAGTCGAATCAAATCGAAAATCACGCATTGTTGTCTTCGTCGAGAATATTGTTCAAATCGAATAGTATTTCGTTTTTAATCGCTGGTCGATGCTTTGTTTCGACAAACGATTTTTTTTCTCTTTCCTTTTTCTTTTATTGAGAGCTCGTTTAATTTAAATGTTTCAATCTTTTTTTTATCACAATAGTGGCGTTCAATTACTTTTGCGTAATGTCAAAATGAGCCTCGCCAGATTCTCGATACAATTTACTTAAAGCGGAAATCGAAGAAACTCTTAATGAGATTTCAAAGCTGCCGGATGCACGCAACCGTGGATTCTCCTAGTTACTTGTTACCTCCAAGTCCGCGGAGTGTATATAAATTTCAAACGATCGTTGTGGAACTTTGAAAAGGTTGGTTAATTAAAAAAATATATTAGTATCGATTCGACCGCCCGACGGTGAAGATGACGCGGAACGATTCAGAGAATAATGTTTAAAATTCGTAATTTATTGTCCAACAGAACATTTCCTTTATTTTGGCTACTAATGGTATTAGAAATTCGTTACCAGTTTAAGAGCGGATAAAGAACACACGATACATTCGTATGGAGTGTCATAATAAGGACAAATGGCCAGAAGGAGATTAGAGTAGATAAAGAAAGTTGTTGCAATAAGTGGAACGTACCGTTAGATAGCTGAGAGGGGAGAGATATATAATGATAACAAGGGTTTGCGTGGTGACAGAGGACTGAGAATGAAATTTATGATGACTACTGATTCCTTTCTTTTTTTTTCATATCTACAGATTATTATATATAGAAGGAGAGAGAGAGAGAGAGAGAGTGATATTGTATAATTAGACTGTTCAACCTTCGCCTTTATTTTAACTATCGCCATAAATGCCGACGAATAATTATTTTTATTTGGCAGTTTCACGGAACTATACGATTCTGATGTGTAAAATATTTCTGTGTTTTGATAACTGAATTACTAATATTTTTAATCTAAAGATACTAACTTTGCTTATTCCAGATAATGGATAATAGAGTTCTTAAAATAACCCATGTTATTTTCAAATGTTTGTTCTCGTGCTAAAAAAATGACACGAAAAACATTGAACGTTTTTTGCAACAATTTTTTCTCCGTGGAAAAGAAAGAAGAATTTGGATATTGTGTCATTGTAGTTTCAAACTTTAAGAATCTCTTGAACAAAACAACAAAGAAATTTATCCAGTTTGTATTTTAGTTCGCTATTTGACCACATATGGAGTTTAATCACGAAGCAAATAAATTTATTGAGGCGAAGATTTCTTTCACTTGTTACAATCTTATTAGCCAGAAATTAATTCTCGTTATTCTTATTTTATGGGAGTATTGATTGCTCTAATATATAATTATGTTTCTATTTATCTTTAACATAATATTTTAGTCTTTTAATTAGTTTTTATAATCTTTTGAGAGACTCAAAAGAAGAGTAAAATCAAAGAAATGGTCATTCAAGTGTCCGAGGAATCGTGAAATTCAATATTTTGTAGATAGTGGTAATTAAACGAAAATTTTATATATATTTTATTTATATATTTAAAATTATATATATATATTTTAAATATTAAAAATTTTATATATTTTATTTATACGCGAATTCGCTGCTAGTTAAATTGATTTCGATGAAAGGACGAGTGGACACCACGATGTGACTTGTCGATGATTCGATAAACATGATTATAATTAAATTAAATTAAAAGAGCCGTCTCGCTTCTCTGACGCATTAGTTTTTCCGCGTCGAACAGCATCGGGCAACGAATGATAGTATCAAACTCTCCTATGCAACGGCGATAAACTGATATCGACGATTGTGTTAGAAGCGTACAAAAACTGGTAATCGGATTCGGTGTATCGCTTTTCTATATTGGAGTTTGCACAGAGGCAAAGTAAAACTGAAAGTTGAAAACGGAGAAACCTATCGATTACCCATAGTATGTGAGGAAATTAAATAAATGCGCGAGTACAAATGGTAGATCGCGTGACTTGACGTGCTCTTGATACCTCGAGATTAGGCTAGTCAACCTAACCCAATTAAGGCGAAACGGTTCTACCGACGGTTCTTTCTTCCTAATCTTCTCGATTCTCGTTCGATCTGTCGTCTCATCAGATGTGCTAATTTCCCCGTTGATAAAACGTTAGTTGAATATTTATACAATTTTTCTTCTCTGTTCATATCTTCCTTTTGTTAGCACTTTTGTTACGACTTTTATTTCCCTTAAAAGAATCACTGGTTTACAACTTGAACAAAAAGAAAAGAGAAATACTCTATGAAAATTTTTAAGATACCTGGCGCTTTATTAAAAAAATGATGTTGGTTTATTTTTAGGATGTTGGGTGGTGTGGGAGGCCGGCACATGTCTACGCGTCGGCGTGGCAGTAGCCCGCTGGTGCGTGGAAGTGCGGGCCTCGCAGGATATATCGGACCGGGGGCCTCTGGAAATTCCAACGATGCTGCTACGATACCACCGGATGTACAAAGATACGCTGCCAGGAGGCGCGGGGCGGTTACTACCAGCGATCACAAGAGTTGCGCTCTTGTGCAGACTCGCATCAAGCTCGGCGATATCATGTGAGTTTCATTCGCTTTACATCTTTTTTTTCGATTCGTTCCCTTTTTCTATATAATCCAATCGACTCGGCAGGGTAAGGTAGTCTGACTCACACGGTCGGTATCTACTTACCAGGAAAGCTGGAAACAATGGTAAACCGGTCGATAATACAGCAATGTTTTCAATATTCTCACCAGACCTTTCGTGTTCCTTTAGTAAGTTGAACTATCGGTTATGCAGGATACTGTTTATAGCAGACTATAGGGTAGTTACCCTCACAACTTAAACTTAAACTCAACGAGCAATATAGAGTATCAACTGTTATGAATCGGTAGAAGATATAGTAGGACGTGGATAATCGATAGGAGATACAGCAAAATTTACAGAACGTCTGATCATAGTTTGCTTGTACTACTGATAGTAACACTTTGGACTTTGTGACATTCGTAAATTTAATCACAATGTATTAATATCATCGATGCATTAATATCATCGATGTGTAATTAACTTATCGTAATCGATTTATTATCGTAAAAATTACGCTCTGTAAGATTAATTGTCGTGCATTTTACGCTCTGTAAGATGGCGGCAGGCGTAAGTTGCGGCTGATCATATTGGAGCATGTACTACTGCAGCTGAATTAAGGTCTAATGTACATAGTGAGGTGTCTGTACTCTCGGCGCGGTCTTCGGTGCTTTTTATGTTATCGATTAGTCTTCGATTGTTTGGCCATTACTTTTTATTTTTAGCACAGACTGTCGTTGTCCGTTTCGTTAAATTTAAGTGCAATATTCGATCATTTGTGAAGCTCTTTCTTTCCTTGCGTTACTTAGCTATTTTTGATAAATCAAACGACTGATTATTTTTGTATCCTAAACTTATGAATTGAAAACGCCCTACATGTTGATGTTTTCTCGCAGTAATAACAACACATTATCGTATTTATCATAATGAAAATCGACGTTACATGCAAGTAGATCTGCGCTATCTTGACCAAAATCATCAAGGTCCTCGACCTTTGCTATCGACAAACGGCTATAGACATCCCTTAACTATTTTTATTCGAATCGACGTTGTCTCAGTTAACAAACGGATCGTTGCCAATGCACATGTCATTGTCGATTTCGCAAAGATGAATTCTGAATGATACCTACGAAATAGTTACAATCACGCAGAGATTTCTAATTAAATCAATCACCCTCGAAACTATTCCCGAACTTAGACTGACACGTTTCGCTTATATGTTTAAACGTACCTAAAAAACACATTGCAACGAGCGTGCAACTACAAAATCAACGAGAGGGGAAGCATAGTTTGCGTAAGTAAATCGAACCGTGTCGCAATCGAATCCGTGCATTCTTAGTCGGGCAATGTGCTTCACAGCCTCTTAGAGGTTTCTGGTTACGTGGTCCGTTTATCCACGCGTTGGACTCACGAAGAGAGAAAAGGACTGGTAGATTCTGTGTGAAACCACAAATAGATTCGGGGACGTCCGACATACGATTGTCGGTTTAGACGCGATCGGTAGGAAAGTGTAGAGCCAAGTCGTGCCTTGGTCCCTCCCCTTCTATGGTTGCTGGTATGTCACTGTGGTGAATCGAGTCGGGGTCTCAGAGTCGTGAAGTCGAGTCGACTCGGTCGTGTGTTTCAGGCTGGTTGCCGGCTGCCGTCGTGAATCAATACCCGCATTGCGCGTGCCACCTCTCTTTCTCTTTCCCTCGTTTCCCTTCTCGCTCTTTGTACCCTTCCCAACCCTGTTCTCTGCGTGGCCGTCTCTGTCTCTCACGATGCCATTCTCTCTTTCCCACTTTACCGTCTGGCTCTCTCTGTCTCTCCTTTATTCTTTCTCGTTTCAACCACCACTTCTACGTATTTCTCTCCTGCGTCCTCTTTCGACGTTGCACCCTTTTTTGGTTCTGTAGTTTTCTTTCTTTCATTTCTCTCTCTCTCTCTCTCTCTCTCTCTCCCTCTCTCCCCTTCCTTCTCTCCTTTGTCTATCTGTCTATCTACCTACCTATCTTTATTGCTCTATATTTTCTATCTCGGTCGTCTTATAACAAAGTCCGTTCTCTCAGTTCCTTCTCCTTTTGTCTACGAATATGTTCGTTCGATTTTCTTCCTATTTATTCGGAGAAAGCGGACATAGTAAACTGAGGTAGAGGTAAAAATAAAGGAGCAAGACTGAAGATAGGCAAGAGGAGAAAGTGACAAGCAAGGGACGTGTACAGTCTAGTTGATAGAACCATGTGGAAAGGAGGATCTAGCTGGCGGATATCACCGACTTCCAAGAGTTACCCAAATTCTCTGATTGGATGAAAGAAATGAACAAAAATAAAACCGAAACAAACAGACTTGGCTAAATAAGCGAGGGTTGTAGAAACCACGAAAGATCATCGTGAAATGGTCATTCTAGAATAATCAGAGATTTTCTCTGAATAATATTGGATAGATAGGACGAATAGCATTTTGAAACACTCGGCACTGATATTTTTCAACACCGTCCCAACTTGAATCGGACACTGTCGATTCTTTTCGAACGTTTTTCAAGATTTTCGCAGAACTGTTGATTCTCGATGGCGTTGCGATGAAAACAACTGTAATGTGGTGGGGTCAGTAAACTCGAGGACTGTGGTTGCTGGCTGCGGTGGTGGGCAGAGGTTCGCGCAGCCTCTTCTGGGAATGATATTTTCTCATAAGACAGTGAGAACGTGATGGGTTACTCGTTGGGATTTAATTTCGAAAATAAAACGATACTCCGTCTCAAATGTTATTCCGGACTTGTAAACCTAAGAAACGCGAATCTGAGAACTATAATACTGGAGTTAGTTACGATATTTCTAGAATAATAAATAACGAATGAGAAACAATTATTAATTGACAAGGATATGCGAATGTATACGCAGTAATGCGGTTGTTACATGTATTTAAATTTGAATTTCATTGCACCAGCTGCTTGTGATTGATCTAGTAATGAATAATTCTTCCTTCTATCTGAAGATCAATTCAAGCCCATAAGTTTCTAATTACGAACTAATTAACAGAGACAAAAGCATTCGCGACGACTTCATGAACCTCGCAGTTACATATATACTTTCATAAGCACCCGAGGATAATTGGCTTTACGGTATTAGGCCCGCGTTAACACGAGCGATGCCCTATTCGCGAGATGTCGAATCAGTGACCTAATGTACATCAAAGTAGGGGACAGGAAGGCGCAAAGGAAAAAGGAATCTTGTAAGAATGAGTACACGTATCACGTGTACCGATAAGTACCTTAACGTGAGAGAAACGGATTAATTTGCGAATAACCGATCGAAAGCGAAAGAGATGGTACGACGCGGAAACCTTATGGTTCTATCCTCGGTATAAGGAGACGTAAATCCATTTGGCTTTGCTATGATGCAGAGCAGCCCGTACGTTAGAAGACTAATAGATGACGAAGCTAACGGGGTTCAGATGACTTGACTTACGAAGCCCCGACCATGCCACGGTGCAACGTACCGTTTTCCTTTCGTTATGCCCCAGCGATGAAGTCGTCGCGAATGCAGGTCACAGAATGCGTTCCATTTTTCTCGATTCTCGTCGTTTAAAGGGGATTCGTCGAATCGTTGATGCCCAACAATTCCTATTTACGCTGTCCATTGCCAGTTCAGCATGTTCCAAAGCTATTGATTTTCACGATCCAAAGCGATCGTCGAAGGGAACGGAGAAACTTACACCGAGGTATCAAAAGCTTGACGCGAGAGCTGTCCATTCTTTTGATCGGTGGAGCATCTTTGAACAGCGTGACTCTTCGCCGCCCATCGGCTTAATCCAAAGTATATGAACGACAGAGAAGGCATGGCGCGATCAGCGTCAGATCGATCGATCGATAGATAGATATCAAATTAACGAAGCGCGTTATCCCGTGGACGATTTTAGCTAGGCTGCTCGATCGGCTGTGTTACATCCAACGCCCTCGGCCGATCTTGATTGGCGACTGACCCAGTGACGTCACCTGTACGCTTTGACAGACCGATCGAATAATTCGATTAAAATTCTCCCAGTTCAGGCCTGCCTCTGATTAACCGCGATTCGACGGAGGTTGTCTTGTTTCACCTCTCTCGCTTTATCCCTCTTCGTCTGACCGCGTCCAGCGACATCCACCGAATGACGAAAACTACGACAACGTATCTTCTGTTTCGTATCTTTCGTATCGATAGGAATTCACGCTCGTTGGACGAGAGGGAAAGCTTCGACACCGGTATAATTCTGAATATCGTCACGACGGAACGCAATTTTACGAGAGAAGCATTCAATCTCGCCGATTGCACGTTTCAACGAAAGTGGAAACGATCAGACATCGATAGCGAAGATCGCTTGTTTTGCCAGGGGATGAAACCAAAGGGGGGCTCGATAATGCAAATATGACTTTACGCAATCCGCGTGTGCGCGTTCGAAAGTTGAAGCTGTATCATGCTATAAATAGGACGCCCGCAATTAATGGGTTGAAGTTAACTCTTTGTGCTTGAATATAGAGTTACAGCTGATAAACGGGACTGCGTAGCTACCGTACAAATTTCACGTCAAGTATATTGCGCCGTAAGCGATATTTATAAAATACCATGCCCCCTTTGCTTTGATAATTATTCCCACGATATAACACATAGTTCCTTGTTCTGATAACAAACAAGTAGCCTCGTTTTACCGAAATTTGTATTTCCGTCAAAGGAATGAAAAGAATGTTTCATCCTTCTTTCTTTCAAATTTTATCTGGAAAAGTTTATCTATAGTAGAATATGACGGAAATGCTCAGACACGTCGGCATTCAAACTCGAATCGCCAATGTCATCGTCCTTAAATGCAATTTTTTTTTTTATTCTAAATTATAAGTTTAGAATTAATGATGCAGAACGTTGCATATTATAATGATTTAAGGATTAAATATTGACAAACATTCGATATTCGAATGAAAGCCATGAAAAATTGTACTTTTTTCCGTAAGCTTTGATTATGAATCTTTCACGATATAGATCAGCAG